AAACATGAGCGACAGATTGGTCTACCACAATACAACAGAGAAAATGAAATGTTTTACCACCTGAAATACAGATGAAAGATTAAAACACATTAAACACGGCAGTTTCTCGTCCACTCCTTTAATTCTAAGCAGTTAACGTAATTTCCATTGTGGCTTATCACCTTCCCCTGCTTCATTTGAATACAGTCAGACCACACCTGAATGTACAGAGGCAGAGCCGGGCCTCATTTTAAACTATGTCACATTATTTGCTTTTTATCAGAAAGAAATATCCCTTCACTTCTGTAATGAGAAATGATGATGCGAATATAATAATGTTATTGATATAAACGGCTGGACGCCATCACACTAATGTCAAACTTAATAAATATACTTGACAAAGAATGAGGGACGTAAGTAACCTTATTTGAATAATGACCCTCACACCTCTTGCCCTTCCACCTAGTCTGTTTGACCTGGGGCCCGAAAAGCAACTGTTGGCAGTTGGGATTATTGCCCAGAGAGGGGGGTGGTGCAATGGCCCTGAGTAATACTGAAGTTTCTTTTAATTAAATCATGTTCAGGCTCATCATGACAAGGTTTCCCCTCAGCCTTGCCCTTTCTGCTCTTGCAGTGAATTCTCTGGCCGAGGTCGTCAGGCAGGACTCAATATGGAGGCGTAAAGGCTGAACCCTTTAAACAGAATCTTTCTTTATGCAGACGATGTCTTGCTGTATGTATCAGATCCTGTGTCTCCAACATCATTTTCCCAGCTTGTCTATCTGGATGTTCAGGTGACTCTTTTGTTTCATCAGATGTTTAAGACCAACTTTAGAGAAAGACCTACACAGATGGTTTGTCCTAAGAATGAATACCCTGTACCCAGTTTACTGCACCACAACAGATCTTTGTTTATTTGTTTGGTTGGACCTGGAAATGTCACAGAGCTCTGGTTCCCTGCTGGACTGTTTGTCCTGTAACATTGTCCCAAAACTTTGAAGGTGTTGTTAACAACACACAGTCACATATTACCTCCCAGCTGAATCCAATTCATGGTGACCCTGGTATCTTACAGGGTATGATAGACAGTTCATTTCTTGAATTTCCTAGATAAAGTAACTGAGTATTTTAAATGCCTTGAAGCCAAACAGGTGTTTTGTAATGCAGGGTGTTGCACAGACATGGTAAAGTGAGCTCAGTGTACACATTGATTAGCCTATATGGGATGTGATTAGAGACTATATCACCATAGATGATATCCGTGTAACAAGGCTCGAATGGTGCAGTTAAAAATCCTCCACAGTTTCCAAATCTTGATCAACAAAGTGAACCCCTAACTTTTATGCTTGTGCATAAAATATAAAACCTCAGCAGACTCACACTCATTTGGTCTGGTCCTGTCCTGAAAGCCAAATATTACCAAAAGTGTTCCTAAATGTCCTCTTATATCAATTCAATCTTTTCCATAAGCAATTCTGGAGGAAAAGTGTTGATATTTGAACTCACAGAAAACAAAACTGGCAAGAGTTAGCATAGCATCCAACCAAATTTATCGAGCAAATTGGTGTTTTTAGGTCTTTCCAGATTTAAAACCCTTTGCACTTTGAGTCGTCTGCAGAAACTTTGCAACTTTGTGAACTTTGCTAGAGTAAAAAGATACATCAGAAAAGTCTTAGGCAATAATAAAAACAAACTTTATGGTCACCCAAAGTTAAAAGCTTTTATTGAATGAAGTCACATGAAGAACACCAGAGTAATTTGGCTTTTACATTGACAGTGATGTTAAAATATCATGTAGCTTTAACAACAACACTTTATAGGTGTTTTCACGCAGCTCTTAGAATACAAACACTTTTAGCTTTTGTGTCCTTGAGCTGTGTGTGTGTGTGTGTGTGTGTGTGTGTGNGTGTGTGTGTGTGTGTGTGTGACTGGTCCTGCCAGCTTTCCTATGCTCCTCAGGTACACTGTATCTAATCAACCAAACCTCGCTGATGCCGGCACTCTGTGGAAACATTATCTTTTATTTTGAGTTTGTTCAGTTTCTGCCTTCTTTGGCCCCTAAGGCTCACACTGTTTATTCAGCCACAGCCTCTGATAAATTCTGGGCTGAATACACTTCAGTAATGAGGCAGGCAAACAGGGCCTCCACAAGCATGCTCTGTTTGAGCAAAACAAACTGTATAAACAACATCCCACATAGATTAACAAGGAATTTCTTGAACCCAACCATTTAAAGGTAGAATGGGGTTTCAGACATGTTAAAACCAAGACTCATTAAAGTTGGACATTATTTATGTCTCTGTTTCATCGCTCAGGGCAAGGACGCAACCTGGCACAAAAAGCAGCTTCCAAAGAGGTCTGCAGCTGGAAAGGTACCAGCGCTGTTATGCAACCCGTTGTTTTTTTTCACATCATAGCCAGTGGTTGTGTCAACTGTTCAAGCTGAATGCACTGTCACACAGTCCTGCAGAGCTCTGATGTCATGAACAGCAGGTGCTCTGAATCCATTTGGGGCAGAGAGAACGAGAGAGAATGAGAGAGAGAAAAAAAGAAAAAGCCATTACAATCCCTGACTCATCATTAAAGAGGAGGGGGGTGGAGGTAGATGAGTCGGAAGAGGTGAAGAGGACGTTGATCTGGACGATTAGTCAGTTTTTCCATTAGACCAAGGCTGGCTGTCTGAAAGAAAAACAAGCGTGGATGTCACATTGGGCCATGGTGACAGTGAGGTGGCCTTTGGCTGAAGGCAGCAAGCTTTATAGAAAGGCTGTGTTTGACTGCCACTGTGTCACACACATCAGCACCTGTAGCTCAGTGTGTGTGTGTGTGTGTGTGTGTGTGTGTGACCGGCTGTTTATCTCACAGCTCGAGGTCTGACTCAGCGACATGGGTGAGGAAGAGGCCAGTTTGAGACGGGAGGTAAAGCTGCGGCCTGGACGCAGCAGTCCAGCTCGGTGTTGGCAGGGAAAGGGTGGAGTGTAGAGAACGACTGACACACTGGAGGTGCGAGCTCCTCTCCAGAGCTAAGAAGTCGTCTTCCCACTCCAAGCCTACAGGCAAAACCAACCAAACACACAATTAGTGACAATGAACTGCCAACAGCCCACAGCATCTGGGTTTTAGCTGGATTTTCAAACGGTAAAGTCAACAGAAAAGTTAAAGTTACACACCCAGATCTTGTTACACTGTCAGGGGCCTTTCTAAAATGGATAGCCTAACAGTGACATGCAAAAAAATATATTTATTTTCCATATATAATTTTTAAAGTCAAAATATTGTCTTACTTTATCAATTAATGACAAATTTAAGATTATTTCTGAACTACGATATTGGCAAAAATATTTTCCAACCCATTACGCCACTTTTCATCATTCAATCCTTTTTACAAAATTGTAATTTTAATGACTCATGCTTTTTACAAATTCACATTTCAGTAGAATATACAGGTACAAACACTGCATGAACAAAATCAAAGTTATGTATATGGTAAATACAAAGGGATGAGTGGTGGAGGAAGTATTAAGTGTCAAATATCAAAAGTAAAATTGTTCATTGCAGAAAAATTGCCTCTTCTCTGTCAGTGTTATTTTACTACATATGATAATCATTACATGTATGTGGTTTAACCTTTAACAATTCCTTATGAGATTATTTATGAGATTACCATGTTTTTTTCATAAAATCCTCAAGACTTCAAAAATGTAATTAATTCGGTAGAATAAATAGGGAAATATTTCACTATGAAACAATATCAAATAAAAATTACCTCTTGATTGTACCAACAAAGTGCAGTATTAAATTGAATGTGTTTTGTACCATTGATAAACAGCCTATTGTAAAGGGACAAATCATGTCAGACAGTTGTATGGTTTATACCGCTGTCGTCTAATGTGACATCTTGCAGGTTGAAGGTAGCAGCGTTTGGCAGAGATGTGCAGGGCTCAGGGTGCAGCTCCATGGTGGGACCTTCCTGAGAAGGACAACAGTGGGTAATAACTGGAAACAAGGGCGGTGTGGTGCATTAAACCCTGGAATAAAATAAAGTTATGCAAGCATTCATCTTGAATATAAAATGTAATTAATACACTGACCTCTTAGAGCCCCAGAAAACTTTTGAAAGTAATTCTCTATGACAATAAATATTCATTACAAAATCAGTGATAAAGTTGAATAAGAAAATTAGCTCAAACCCATCCAAGCCAGAGTAGTCATGACAACAGGAGATGGGTACCTGATCAAATAAGTAGACCATGACGTCATCATCGAAGGACACACTCTTCCTTAGTTTCCTGTCCCTTTCAGATGACTCTCCTGGATGATTGTAGTTTTGATAGGATTTTAAAAGACTTTTACGGGTGCTTATGTTATGATTTTCCCCATGAAACACTTCACCGGGATCCTCCTCAGAGTTATTATTGAGATCAGAGGGCAAATTGGCATTTTTTAAACTACTTGACACATCGTTTTTATCACTAGATTCAGTAGTCCCTATGAATGTCTTGCAATCTTGAGTGTGGCAAATGTCAGTAACAAGCTGCAGGGGTATGTCCTTGTTACAGAAAATGATAAACCTGTTTGGGTGATCCATTGTAATAACACGCTGCTGGGTTGTTAAATTTACATTCCTTGGGATCAAAGTGAAAATGTCCCAAATATTTAAGATGAGTTTTTTCCATGAAGCTTCCTTTGGACACTGTGAGACAGAAGAAGTAAATGCTGATTGCTGGAGAGGCTCCTCTAGAAGAAAACAGTGCTGAGGAGAGAGAGGGAAGGAAGATGACCATGGACTTGATCTGCATTCACTGTTCCTCCACAAGTTAAGGGCTGCTCTTCCTCGTTGGTCAGGGATACACGTGATTGGCTGCTGCTTCTCATCAGCCAGCGTCATTTGACCTGAAGATATCCAGAACTGGAGCTCTTCATTCCTGGGTGAGAGATTGACGATCAAATGAATATAATTTGATTCAGTTCATCATCTTGTGATGAACAAGTGAAGGAAATAAACTGTTTCACTAAAAGCTAGTTGCCATTGAAGTGGAATATACCAATACAACTAGAACATTAGTCAACTGTTCAGTGGAATATACCACTCTGTTGCATTTGTAGGACAAAATTACGTCACAGTGGCACAATTAACCGGTCCCAATTCAAAGGCTCCGACAAATACAGCCGAAAAATGTGTCCTTCCCATAGACTGTATATAAAGTATACCCCCGGGCAACGGAGGCTCCACAGGGTGGATCCTTCAGCACTAGGAAGACCAGACTGTCTCATTTCAGTTCAGCCGTGTAGACCAGGTCCTCTGAAGGATACAGCTGCTGAATTGAGATACGGCTTATATTTAGCAAATACAAGCTTTGCTAAATATTACTACATGCTTAATCCGAGAGTTTAATGCTTGGCACACACAAGTTGAGGCACATTGACCTAATATGATATGTAACCGTAACCGCAAAGGTGATTTCCTCTTGCATAAGAATATGATTCCAAAAGTCTGCTTAGTCTTTTTTTTAATCCACCAGATCATTTCAGGGGTCAGCTACAGTGCACAGACAGCCCTTCAGAGTCTGTTAACAACAGGATGTACTGAAACTGATTTGTCGACAAAACAGCACACACACACACGCACACAAACATATGCAATATTTAGCCTCTCACTCCTGAGCTTGAATAAATATCGAGGCTCATCCATCTGTGGAGACAAAGACGCAATAGGAAACTTTCACTGCTCTGCAGTAACCAAGCAACTGTGACTCAGGAAAGGAAGAGAGGGGCTGATTCACAGCAGCAGTGACGTAAAGGATGTAACAGGACACACGGACACACACGCAGACACACCACTGTACGGTCTCACACACTCATGTAAACACACACACACACACATGCAGTAGGCCATAAAGCCTGTAATCTGCACTATTTAAGGTAAATTAACACCTCACTGTGTAACAGGTGGAGGGGCTCAGAGGAGGACAGACCACAAGACCACACATTCAGAGAGAGTGACACAAACACAGCTGACCTTCAATTTATCATCCTGGTCACATAATCATAACAGCACAAATCAAAATGATACCGTTTCTTCCTTCCTTTGTCACTGCATCTCCTTCTGTGAAGCCAGTTCAAACCATCCAGTGAAATCACCAGTGCAACTTCACCCCTGGAGTGTTCTGACTCTGTAGAAACAAAGAGCGGAACATGGTTAAAAAAACGATATGGATTGCTTCAAAATCTTGCTGCATCATGATGCTGCAAAATGTGTTGCAACACGCTTAATCGCCCTGCATCTGCACCATGCATGCATGACACCGGCACATTTCTCCTCCTACCTTGCACTCTGTGAGCCCCACTCATTCCCTCCTGGCTTTTACCCGCACGACGGAAAGCTCAGCAAGGGCACCGGGAGACACAAGCCAAAACTATGGACGTTGAGAGAGGAGACAGAGGGATGCACAGAGAAAGACAGGAAGAGGTGGGGGAGATCTGAAAAGCAGGTAGCGATAGAATGAGGGGCGAAATGAAATAAGGGGAGTATATGAATGGAAGTAAGGATAGATGAAAGAGGAGTGAAGGAGGGTGATGGTAGAGGGAAGAGATGCGAGGACAGAGAAAGGACAAAGAGCTCACACGTGCAGCACAATCCCTGGAGGCTGCTGGACTTTCTGCAGCAGCAGAGTGAGAGATGCAGATCAATAACTTATCTGGTCTAATGTAGCACAGCCGTCCTTCTGACAGAGAGTAACAGGAACAATGTGGTCGCCATTGTCACACATTGGTAACTGTTACTGCACATTAATCTTGATAATTTAACCATATGTATATATATATAGAGAGAGAGAGAGAGAGAGAAAGGCCACCTTTTAAAGGTTAAGTGTGTAGAATTTAGTGACATCTGGTGGTGAAGATACATGTTGCAGCTGAATACCCCTCTGTGGGAGAACTCGGCCCACTCCGGGAAAATATGGGAGGAGAGAATGGCGTTTTCACAAAATCTTTTATTCTGTTACAAGCCTTTAACAGGCACACACATATACTTGGGGTATCCGGACCCACACACATCCACACGTACTGTTCTGCTCCTGCTTCAGAAGCCCAGCCCACTGCAAGAGACCAGAACCAGGTCACCAGCATGCTCTTATTGATTGACTGATTACCTGATTCTGCACAGATGTCTTATCACAATTATAATGGTCACAGGAGAAAGGCTGGGTACACCCTGGACAGGTTGCCAGCACCTCGCAGGGCCAACATGCAGAGTTCTTGACTGTCTCCATGATGTGAAATATTGGATGGCAAATATCAGTCTGCACTTAAAATGTCAGTAAGACGGATATGGTCTTGTTTGGCCCCTCTCTCAACACCTGTAGAAAATAACTTAGCTGGCGTTAACTGGCACCTCAGCTGCATCAGGTCAAAAATCTTGGTGTTATTTTTGACCCAGCTCTGAAATTTGAAACACATTCAATCAGTTTTAAAAAGGCTGTTATTTCCAACCAAGAAACATCACCAAAGTAAAACACTCCCTCTCTTTAAGTAAGGATTGTCTCAAATGCCTTACCTTCATTGTGGCTGGAATACTGTAATGCTCTTTATTTGGGCATTAGCCAGTCGTCACTGTCAAATCTGCAGCTGGTGCAGAATGCTGCTGCTGGACTGATATCTGATACCAGGAAGAGAGACAGGATCTCACCAGTACTTACATTACTGCGTTGGTGTCTTGTACAGTTCAGGATTGGGTTTAAGTTGGGGTTTTTTTTAAAGCACCATATCCACTCCTTGATTACTCAAATCCTTTTATTAGTTGCTCCATGGATGTTCCCTGGTCGAGGTGAAGGGGTAATAAAAGTGATCGTATGTGCACAGTAGCTTCCCGAAGCTTTGGAATCATCAATCTTTTTCAATTGATTGCTGCCCTCTGTTGAAGTGAGGAACTGAGGACCCTTGTGTTCTCTCATGGCTTTTAGATGTCCTTAAGTTGTCTTTATTCACATCATAGCCATTCAAATTGATTTAATTTAATTTCTATTATACTCTATTTTATGTTTCACATTCTGTCTTCCATGATGGTGCAGAGTTTTTTATTAATTAATGTCAAGCAAACAGGGTCATGTAATTGATGTTTTATGAATTAACTTGACTTGAAGTGTCCAAACTAAAAGGGTTGATAAGTAAAAAGTAATTTCTTTGTTTTTCTTCTTTTTTTCACTTGAGTACATATTTAAGTATTTGTGGGTTAAATGCTCGGAAGAGCCCTTCAAATGTTTTTTGCATTGTTTTATTGCTCATGATCTCAACAGTCGCAAAGGGGAACATTAGCTCTCTCTAGAGGTTGCAAGCAGAATAGCAGGTTATGGCCAGCACTGCAGCAAGGCTCTTTAGCTTGTTCTGTGAAAAAGAAACAACTCATCTGGTAATAAGTCTCTACAGTTGGCTGAGAAACAGAGTACCACTGATGCAGCAATTATATAATTTTTACTGATGGAAATAAAAATACGACACTACTACTTCTATAATAAATATATCCACTACTAATACAGTTCCTCATCTTCTTCATTTCTGCTGCACAGTTGCACTGTGATACCATTCATTCATCATCATTACTTCAGTCATTATTATCACGTAACTTCTGACCAGTATTATGGGAATTCCTGCTGGTACAGTCCTCCCCCTGGCAACAAAATCACTGATGCTGGAGTTCTGCTTTACACACCCGGGCAGCATCATGATTTTGTTCCCAGGAGGCGACAACGCCACCATTCAGTCCATCTCTGCTTCCACTGAGAGTGGATAAGAAAGAAATAAGGGGAAGTGGTGAGGATAGAGATTTAAGAGACAGAGATGGACAGATGGTGTTTCAATCCAGAATTCCTGTCTTCATTTTGCTTTTTCACAACTTCTCCCTCCCCCTCTGTTCGTTCACTCTCAGTCATCCTCTGCTGCATCGTGTCACCCAGCAACCTGCACCCATCGACCCATATCAGGTCATCAAGGGCACCCTGACCCCTGACTGCTTGTAGTACTGTGTTTCTCTATAGTCAACTGTTTTTCACTTGACGTGGCAGTACACACAAGGATGTAATACAGCCGCCGAGCTGAAATCCTTCTCGCTGGAACAAAATGTGAGCTGTTCCGGCCTATTTCACATTCTATTTTCACATTGGAGTTAAGATTGATGTGTCCTGTCTGAGTTTCTCATAATCCGATATCTCGACAACTTGCGCGTCTAAATGTCAAATGAATGAGGGATACGTCTTAGGTTTCAGGCCCTCAGACTGACTGGGAAGAAGCTGTGAAAGACTATCAGTTGTGTTTTATTATCTGATGTAGTTTATTAAAGCAAGGTAAAGCACAGGCTATATTTTCTACTCTGCGTCTTTAGCCAAAGGCATGCTGAAATCAACCTCCACTTTCTCATTTTGGCAACTGAGAAATGGCTCGCCTCCGTAATTCCCTGCGGCCTTCTGAGAAACCTGACCTCGGGCATCAGCAGGTGAACTAGTAACAAGAATGTGTCTGTTTTGCTATGGAAGGTGAGAACAAGCCGTAGCGCTGAGGCAACACTTCAGTTTATTTTTTAATTAATTGGTCAGGGGCTTGCTGTGTCCCACTGCTCCGATTGAGTTGTAACGTACACGGTATATGCATAAAGAACTGTGCAACTATCCTTTTACACTGCAGGCGCAGAATCATCATATTCAGCCGGCAGACGACAAGTGACACCTAACAATCCGTGAGAGGGGGGTAATTGGAGCTCATTGGGCTTATTCTGAGCATGTCGAATACACCATGCTCAATGCTTGGAGAGGAGCATGTGGAGATCCTGTCTCCAAAGTCACTGTCAACGCCAGTGGAATGGCCCACAGCAAAGCACTATGGGTAATATGGGGGAAAAGAAGCATCCAGTCAAGACGCTTGTAGCACTAGTGGTTTGCAGCCTTTATTTGGACACGGCAGGGTCTCGCAGCTGCAGGGGAGAGAGGCTTTGGGAGGGGAATGAAATGTGACACTAGAATAACAACATGAAGAGCTGCAAATATGTCACTGATATGTACACATTTATTCAAGGTGTGTGTCTCCAGCAGCAATAAAACAAACATGCTCTGTCGTTAATGTGTAAAAGAAGCTGGGGGACTTTGTTTGCGGCTTTGGCAAATTACAATAACATGAGCCAGGGTGCAGTGCAGCTCTGCATATTGTGGCGGTGAAATGAATGCCTAATTTGTTACAGATCAGCAACACAACAGCGAGCCATGTCATAAAGTCCCTTTGAAAAGGAGAGAAGACTTTTCTCTCTGGCGGGAGATTACAGGGTCTTAAAAGTGTTTGCTGACAGAGTGTCTTTAATATGATGACAGAAAGGCGTAATCCATCTCAGATCACTGGCTGAGTATTTATGAGCCTCTGTTGACAGCAGTATACACCTGCTCTTCCCTAGTCCAGACCTGGGAACAGTGCCTGCCTTAACTGGCATCGCTGCTGCCAAGGCAATGCCATATTAAGAGCATTGTGAGTGTGTGTGTGTGAGTGTAAGAACAGGGATAGAGTGTGTTTGGAAGGACACAGGAGGAGTCTTGTTGATAAGAAATATGCACACTTAAAAGCTTAAGATTTGCATGAATTAATATTTTCAGTTGTAACATGTTGGTTCTAAATACTTTTATTTCAATATTTCACTGAAAACATCCTCAAAAATGTAGAGGAAAGGGTTTTACTGAAGAAAAATCTCTGACTTCCAAGGTTCAGTATGCTTAGAGTTAATTGTATTGATGTAGAATGCACATGTGAGCAAGTTACATATAATGTATTAAATTCAAAGATGTGTTTAAAAAATATATAAAAACAAGCTAAATATCAGAATAAATGCTTGCACCACATTCTGTATCTATTTACACTGTTGCTAAGGGTTGCTTGACCGAAGTAAAACCTTCTGTCGTTGCAGCTTCCTACCACCAGGTAGCAGCAGAGTGAGGGTTTTCGCCTCAGTAGAGCAAACGTGGCTGAGGATTTCACACACAGTTATCCATATCAGAAAGCAAAGGCATAGCTGTAGTTGTAATAGATAAAGTAACATTAATAGTATTTAAATTTTCTGTTTCTTATTTCTCTGAAAACAGCTGCAACAGTTGTGAGCATACATCAAGGCCAAGAGAATGGCTTTTATCCCTAAACCACTAAATCAGCCTGGTATTGAAGACAAGGAAAAGCAAAGTACAGCAGTGGGTGGCGGTAATACACCTTGATGTTGGTTTCAGCCCGCCAATAAACCGAATATAGAAGAAGAAGAAGAAGCAGTTGTGAAAGGCCTGTGCCTGTCTGTCACTTTAAATGTATGTGCCATTTAAAGGATGAGCAGTGAGTGCAAACACTTACCTCATCCCTTCCTGTAATCGAACCACAGCTGACGGAGAAGTTAAGCAGATATTAGTAGTAACGTAAAGATTAGATTAGATATACTTTATTCATCCCACAACGGGGAAATGTACTTATTACAGCAGCAGAAAGAAAGTGTAGTGTACATTACAGAAATTAAAGTGGAAAAGGCAAAAAAAGACAGAAATATCTGTAACCTACACAATAGACAATGTGCAAAAAAACAAGGCGTTAACACACATTTGCCACACAGACAAAAAGACAAGTGAGGAGGAATACATTTGAAATGTCAGGACTGCTTGCAGGCAATAGACTCGAGAGGAAAAGTGTTTAAAAGCGTGACAGTGACCTCTGACCTGTACGAACGGCTCACACACACACTGGTGCACACACAGGCTGAGACAGCTGTGGGTCTCCTCAACTGGTTTAAGGTGTTTATGGAGGCCCTGAGATTGAGTACTCGTTGACAGAGCTCTCACTTACACACACGCACACACACACACACACAGACACACACACACACACAACCCAGATCAGATATGAGCAGATCTGTTTCAGTGGATAATCTTACATGTGTGAAATATACATATTTATCTTTATTTGGGAATCAAGCACTGCCCAGGGGTATATCACACTGCCTCATTCTACAGGAACGTGAAACAAGAGTGTTCTTTCATGTTTTTTACTTGGACTCTTGTAAGGAGTCTATACAAGTAACGAAATATGTCTGACAAATGTATAAATCCAGCCCCAGCCTCTCTCCCTGACACCACTTTCTTTGCTGCCCGCTCCCTCCCTCCCCTCCTCAGAAAGGACAGAGGGAGTCCCTGACTTCCCAGCCCCCCAAACCCATAAACCTCCTCCCCCTGCTCCATCTCAATACAAATCCTTCACTTGCACCTTAAGCTGGCTGGTATTCATCCGTCCCCGATCCAGTTGCGCAGCAGCAACCAGATTTAAGTCAAAAATGTAATGAGTCAGGTTTGTCCCTTAGTTACAGAGCAAACAGATGAGAAATAGAGCGGCCAGGAGACTCTGGGCATTGAAACGGCTGGATCGCAGTGCATTTAACAAGCATCTCATCTTTGCAGTTAATCTCGCAGGATGAGGAGGATCAACTTTCCTCCAGGCTCTCACACACCACAGCAGCAGATCATTGCTGGCATCCACTAGAGCTGCATCGTGAAGGCACTTCTATTATTGAAAATGTGTTTCCCTGACTGTTGGCAACATTTTTATTTTCTTTGCCAAACATAAAATTCAAAGTCACTCACATAATTTATGCTGAATATCAAGCTACCCCCAATGGTAGGCTACTGTAACTTAGCATAAAGACATGGAAACGTGATCTTATATGTATAATTTCTTGGCCAGATTTCTCTTGTGTCAGCCAGGCTAATTATTTCTCATCGTTTTCCCTGTTTACTCTCTTCATGCTAAGCTATTTTGGCTAGCACCTAAGTAGATGAAACTTTGTTTTCAGATACTTCTGGAGAGACAAAAGTTAGTGGCCAAAACGTCTATGTTTTTTGTTTTTTTAAATGGATCTCCACTTCCTCCAACTATCAAGAAATGAAGCGATAATATCCTGGATCGAAACTCTGCCATTACTGCTCACCAAAAGTGAAGCCAAAGTGTCTTGATGGCCACCTGGTGGCTGGTTGCAGTATAGGTCATAAAGCCGGCCCCCTCCATGTAAGCAGATGGGACATGGATCAAAGTGAAAAGTCAAAATATACATTAAAGAAGTTATTCTCAATAGTATATTATTTTAGGTCGTTTTTATCACACTGGTGTATGTTCAAGTGTTTGGTTTTAATTGTTTAATTGATGCTATAAAAACAGGGTGAAGCATCATGATTGATAGCTGAGGCAAACTTGGGCTCCATCCACAGATCACCACTGCACAGACTCTGACTCAAAGATGGCAGCGTTCGCATTCACCTTTATGTAAAGTCTATGAACCCAGGGAATATAATTGTCTCTCTGGGACACATTTGTGATGATCACAGTACAGTAGAAGTTTATAAGAAGGGGACATTTCAGATTTCTCAAGTTTTGATAGTTTTAGAGCCGAAATCCAGTCCTGAGCAGAGCAGGAAAGACAATCACACAGAAACACATGGATGCACTGACGCAATGAGTGCAACCATGTATTTAAGCTTCATGGGTGCCAAAACAGAAGAGTGAGAAAAAACTCTTGGCAAAGACCATGGGTGGGTGATGGGTGGAGCTTAAGGTGTGTGTTAGACAGGGTGTCTTGGCTGAATTTGAGAGCGACACTGGCATGTCCACACCACAGCCGGGCAGATAGAAATAGAAGAAGCAGTAACTGAGCCGAGGAGAGAGGAGGAACAGCCATCTTCCTCTGGGTTCATGCATGAACAGGGTCTGTCCCTCTGTCTCTGTGTGCGTGTGTCGGCCAGAGAAGCCAAACGTGTCAGACATTACAGAGGGACTTAAAGGTTTAGTTTAGCATGCGACAGGACATTAAGTCTAACCTGGCAATAATCATTTGTCTGAATTAAAATGGCAACCATTGTGAAGCCTCTACACATAGTGACTGCCCGAAATCTGACACGTGCTGCTCTAGACATATCATATATTTATTCTGTCAACACAGGGAAAGTTAAAGGTCAATGTAAGAACACCAGGCAGTATAAGGGTGTTCTCATATATGACCCATTCAAAAAGTGAAGTTCTAGCTGATTGAGAACATTTCTCAGTGCTTATTATCAACACACAGTGATTTATATTCATTTCAGTATTTTAGCTCACATACATTGAGATATATTTCAATGGACCCTGTTTTTTTAGGACTAGACGCCAAGAACCACTAATATACATAAAGTGAACAAACAATGATAGATAGGCTGTTCAATGTGATGTTTGTTTTTCTGCAGCTCCATGTGCATTTTTTGTAGAAAGGCAAGAACCTGAGATGGATGAAACACTTCACAAAGGCCATTTAGACCATTTATATATGATGGGGATATAGTATGTGTGTGCACCAGTTATCAGTGTTGTATAACCCACAGAAAGCTTCATTCTTTCTCTGTCTGGAATAATAAAACTTTGCAGGATACAGACAATGTTCTACAATAAAACTTTGTGTCCCAACTCTAAACCCATCAATCCTTGTGGTTGTTTATTCCTTCTAATAAATAATTAGGAATTAACGATTCAATCATGACTGACACCACAGAGGATAATTACCCTGTAAGCCCACTCGTAGATAAATCCCAAAATGTGTGGATGCATCTATATTATATCCTGTCAAAGTTTCCTCCGATAAAATCAACATTTCATAGATAGAAAGACAAAACAAGAATGTGCGTAGTGCAAACAGAATACAAAATGCCCTTCAATTTGTCTGTTTGGGTAAAACTTACCTCTGCTGGTTTCCATGTCTTGAGCCAACGCTCTGTTTTTCCCATCTCAAACTGAAGAATGAAATGGGACAGTTTGTATTTCAACTAGGTGAAAGGATCCAAAGGATCCAAAGTCCAAAAACTGATTTGTCATACTCACAAAATGCAGGATTTATCTTCAGCTTGACCCAATTGCAGTATTAGGCCACTCCCTGGTAAGTTTGCTGACATGGGATAACACTTTTCTCAGGTGAAAGAGACAAAGAACATGTTCAAAGTTTTCTATTTACGTTGATCTGTAGTAATCCTCCCTGTTCAGACTCCCCTGGAGCTGCCCGCTCCTGTGAAGAAAACATCCACCAATTAAACAAACTCCCCCAAATCACTACGTGCAAAAGACTGTCACCCCATCCCTATCCATCTTTCTCTGTGTCTGTCTTTTCCTCCCTGTCCCCATCCCCCTCTTCCTCCTCTCATCCACCGCTCCATCACGCAGGAAGCCTGGTCTTCCTGAAAACAAGCACCAGAGCGTGGAAAGGGACGAGGCAGAGGGGGGCGAGTACGTGAGGGGTAACAGAGGATGTTTTTGTCGTTCCTCTGCCTCTCTGGTTGCTGCAGGCCTCACTGTAGTCCATCCTGAGGAAGCCGGGCCCACGTCACTCTGGCCAGGCCTTGAGCCCACACGTGCTGCCTGGTGAGGCCGGTGTGACCCTCTCACATATGGGAGCTATAAAAACCTCTGTGAACTGAAACCTTGGAAAACACTGCTTTTCAAATCAAAATAGCAAGCAGGATAAAGTCAGCATGAAATCAAATGGACCGCAATTCAATTACACAAAGGGGACAGATGTGGTGTGGAGAGATAGTGTCAGCAGGCCAAACTGACCACACTCCATTTCCTGTGTAATAAGCTGTAAACTGCCAAAGCACCTGCAAGAACTCCTCAGCAGGTGAGTCCCATCGGAAAAAAAGCATGGAACCAGTGGATGTTGACTTTGGCAGTGTTTTTTTTCTTTTTATTTGACAAGCATTTACCGCAGGACAGTCGAGTCGTGACTGATAAGCAATCAGGAAGTAAATGAGGGTTTCCAAATGTCCAGGAGTCCAGGAGTGATTCCTCACAATCAAAAAGTCTGGAGCAGTTTGGACAGCAGGTGTAAACATAGCAGCAGCGATCCGTTTTAAGTTTCCACAGTCTAATCCAGTTTCTAGTGTGACCTGAGTTTACTCACAATCACAACTTTATACAAGGACACACAAAGACAGCATTTGGACGACACGATCAGTGGAGAGCAGTGTTACCGTGTATGTTGTGATGGATCCCTCCACCAGGATGGACAGAAGTGCAATAGATGTGTGTTTTTCCTCATTTACCCACAGCGTATGGCGTGTTTATCTTTTGAAATAAACACTCATACACTCATTGGAGAACAAAGGGCTTTAAATGCTAAATGTGGCATGACTGTGAGTGGACACAGCTCCAGGAGCACAGCCTGAAAGTGACAGAGGCCATAATAACAGGATGTTTACAGCCTGCGGAATCGCTGCCAGGGACGACCACGGGCAGGCCGCAACTGTGGCTGGAGACATTGGAGAAAAGGAAGTGTGGGCCAGCCAGGATCACTCCAGATGCACCAAATATAACCTCACTGGCTGCAATTCTGTCTACAGACGCAACCTGACAGGGGTATGTTTAATTTGATTTAAAAACACATCGACCTCTGACCTGGATAAACTACTCTTTAAAAGCTAAGACACTCTGTCCTTCACACACACATGCACACACACACAATGGCTCGAGTGGTCAGCTGCAGGTGACAGGAGACAGAAGGACACTGGTGGTTTCTGACACTGGGGGGTGAAGCCTATTTACTGTCACCAGTTGTTTCTCTCTGCCCATCAGTGGTTGCATATCTCACCAGGCTGTAACATCCACCACAGCAGACTCTGCATGATCATGGCCATAACCGACTTCCTAGCAGCTTCAGACATCACTTCAGCCATTAACGCTTGTAAAGGTGAGGAGAAGATTGTGTTTTTCCTATGAATTATATATTGGGTTACATGCTGACATATATTCCTCTTGCACCAGGATTTGTTTCCACATTTCACTTTAAAAAGAAACTTGAAGGACAGAGGGTTGCCAGCTGTTTATAATTTTCAATTCACTGGATCTAATCAAGTTTTGTCTGTGCTTTTACTTTCAGGGAAGGATTCCTTTAGCCCGAAGATGTTTTTCAAAACAGTGGGTTTATCCAAGAAAAATCCGACAGAGGTCGAGAGGGTCTTTAAGATTTTGGACCAGGACAAAAGTGGCTTCATAGAACAGGATGAGCTACAGTTGAGTTTTAAACAAATATCCTGTATGGCAACATGTGCACGTCTTGGTTAATTTCTTGTGTCAGGCTGTTGTTTTCTGAGAACAGGAAAGACTTTTTGTACACCTGAGCTGCAGTTGTGTGTCTGCATGAGATGCATTTACATTTTGTTGATGCTCTCTCACTATGGTGTCGCCAGACTGTTCCTGCAGAATTTCGCCAAAGGAGCGAGGCCCCTGACCGCAGCCGAGACCAGAGCCTTCCTCCTGGAGGGAGACTCGGATGGAGACGGGAAGATCGGCTGGGAAGGTACGCAGGTCTGATGGGCACTTCACTGTAGGTGTTGCATTGAGTTTTATTTGTCAAGAGAAGGAAAATGAGCTGACAGCGTTTCCCACAGGCTGAGAGGTGGATGAGGTCACACTTGAGACAGGACTTAACATTTTAAGAATAAGACACATTCATTCATTCTGCTTGATATTTTGACATTTCTCGAATGTATGCTTTGAACTGAATTAACCCATCAAAAAAGGACTCATTCGCAATTTTTATCTTTAAAGAAGTTCAATAGTATGTTCTTCTGATTTTATTTAAACGGAATCGAAGGCCATCCATTCATCTCCTATTGACACTCTCATCCTTATGTTAGCTTTCATTATGTTGCCTGGCAACTGAATTGGAGGTACAACAGTGGCCTCTTACAGCGTCGCTGCCAGTTACACACCTCAGTATGTTTGTGATTGTAGATGGATGCAGGACGTTTGTTGTACTTTAATAGTTTGTACGAAAAGAAAAATGTCTCAAATCCAGTTTTTATTTCCCTGTTGCAGAGTTTTCAGCGCTGGTCAAGTCTTCATAAAGCCTGCCCCATCTCTCACATGATTATGATGATCTCAGGATGGGCCTTTTTTTTAAATAATCACCTGGACTCATCCAGGGATCTTATGTGTTTAGAGCCATACAATCAACTATGTCATAGTTTCAATGAAAACAATGTAATAAAGTAACTGATGTAAAACACAAATGAAACCTTGCCTCTCTGCTATGTGTCTTTCTCTGCCAGAAGAGTTTACAAATAAACCTCATTCTCACCATTGGATATGATCTGTTTCTTTCTTCTTACTCCCAGCAAAAGTCTTGTCAAGATGAGTTCTCCCTCGTGTTAATAATAATAATAACTTTATGTATATAGTGGCATTATGATGTTATATTGAGCACTGGTGTGGGAGGGGTCCAGTTATTCTAGGCACTGTGGTTTCTCCAGGAGCAATAAGCAACTAAAAGCAACTTAATGAAATGTTATTCTGGTGACCTCACTTACCTCACTAAGGTGTGAATTATGTGTTTACACTCTGACAACATGCGCACAATATTAGCCCACTTTCTTCAAATGCCTGAATCAAATATAAATAACAGTTGAAAGACTATGTTATGATTTACAACCATTAAAACTTTATTTGAGACTGAGCATCCAAATATAGAAGAGAAGCTCACAGTGGGTATAAATCTCTTTCATCACATTATAAGTTTTAATTAAGTTCATAAATCAAATATTTTTGCGTCACATTTTCCCACAGGCAAGTTGTTTAACCTGCTCTTGTAGTGAATGACATCAGTACAGTATTCACTGGACCCATATACCAGCTTCATTTGGCACCCTGGGTCCTAGCCACCAAGCAGGCTTGAAATGATTCTAGCTGTGATTGCAGATGGGACAGGGCGGTTGGCACAGACTGAGTTTTGGCACAGCCTGGTACAGACTGTTGGATCATGTCCAGCTCTGGCAGACAGAGATGGGGTCGATAGGAGGACCAGGTGTCTGGGCAGAGCGTCAGCACTGCTGGCCCAGCCTGGGGGGGCTGAGTACTTCCAGTGACCCAGCAGAGGAGCTGTGGGACAGGATAGAGTTTCCTGGGCCGGAACATTTACAGGACTTCTGTCTGTGAGGCACATTTATTTGCAATAAATTCACCCAGCACTGGTGACCAGAGGAGAGGGACATGGGGAATATGGGTCATTTCTATTTCTGCAGCATGAAGGAAGAAACTCTTAGGTGGATGGTTAGAGACATGTCGTTAATTCCTTGGCATAAATGCTGATATCTTAAATGCACTTTTCCTTGATTGATAGCATAGCTGGGTTTATCTTTCTTAATATCCCACAAATGTATTACAAATGAGTATTTCAGGTATAAAGCTCAGAATATGATGGGCGAGTGTCCCTTATACTTTCTCCGGTTACAGACCTTCATTGCGGTGCTTAATGGGTTTCATCCCGCTGTGAGATATTTGTAATTTAAGCCTGATATTGAAGAAGGGCAGAAATAGTTGCAGTATCTGTGGCTGAGTCATTCAAGGTGAGAGACCTCATTTGACCACAGCAAATGTTAAAGGCTAAAGATCATTTTTACACGACTTTTAATAAGATTTAATGTAAAGAGGAAATTTAAAAAATGCCAGAACCCTTACATACACATGAAACCACTGAAGTGAAGGAAGTGAAAAAATAGATTTAATTAGAGCAATTGTTTATGAAGTTGAAAAAGCTTGACTTTAACAAAATATTGTGCCCAGTCAAATCAAATCTTCGCAGTCATTGTGGACTGCACTGTCACTCTGGTTTAACTCTCTTAGCTGTGCAATGTTTATTCTGTCTGTGCAATACAATGGTTCATGTGCAATGTACATTCTCACTGTACATATTCTCAAATTGCATATATATGCATATATATTTCTTATATTTCCTTACAATTATGTATTGCATGTTACTTATTATTATGTTGACTCTTGCTGCTGTAATGTTGCAAATTCCCCAGTGGTGGAACTAATAAAGGATTATCTTATCGTATCGTATCTTATCTTATCTTATCTTCTCCATACCATATTCATCACAGGATCATCTCAATACTGCCGCCTGATGTATAACAGGCACATAACAGCCTGCAAGGAACCAGACATAGGCATGGGAAGACCCCTGGACAAGTTACTCATTTGATTCAATTGTTCAGAGTAATGTGAGAACTTGTGCATTATTATGCAACCAGACGGCGCCACACGGAGGTGTTGAGATGAAGATGTACCGTGATCAATTTTCAGTATTTCCTAAAATAGCATCTCCAATGGCTTCATCACCATGAGGAGAAATAATCTGAAGGGTTTCAGAAGTCCCAAAAAATAAAATAAGATATAATAAAATGAAATGTGACAGGTGTGACAGTAAGTACGAGATCATTAGGAATTCAAGTATTTAAATAAAATACCTCTTGCTCGCCACTCGAATCCTTCCCCTGCAACTTTGTGTTTTATTTCATACTATATAATACATGTAAACAGCTCAGCATCATCTTGTGCTTATTTTCATGTATTTCACATTACCATTTTTCTTAATATTTTACACCTTATAGCAGAGATTGCACTCTCGCAACCTTTGCAGAGAGAAAATGATGAAGTCATGGGAAAAGAAAATATATACAAGGGGGCATTTGAAAATAATGAGAGAATATTTCAATTGGATATGTTAAGTAGCTACAGGTGGGTATTATTTGTCCATGAGCAACAAGAGAAGCACATGTGGCTCCACATGAAAATTATTTGTTATTTTCTACAACTACTGTTTTTTTTCTATTCACAAACTATTCCAGTGCTGAAAATAAGTTTCTTACAGTCTCATGTCCACTAATGTAGTTGAGTCAAAACTGACAAATGTCATTTGTTGGCTTAATTCCAAGGAAAGTAAAAGACCCAACACATTGTTAGCACCTGCCAGAATCAATCACAACAACTAGACTTTTCTGACAATGGAATTTCAGACATTTTACACATGCCAATTATGCACATGCTATATTTCATCAAAACTGCACGGTTCAAAGGGCACATGTGTGTCGTTACTCCCCAGTGGTGATTATGGTGTATAAGCCATGGATCCATATGCAGAAAAACGTACACTGTGTTCTATTCATTATTTCTTTATTATTATTTATTGGCATAAAAGACAGACTCATTTTTTGTCATTTTAATTAAAATTAAAATTTTACTTGTCGTTACAAGAATCATAATAAAAATGACATTTATTATATTAGAAACAATGCGACAATGTTAAAGCTACTGGCACCGCTGCAAAAGCAAGAGTCATTGTTGCACAAACCTGATTCTTACTTAAGTAATCTCCCGTAATAAATTACAAACCAGTTTAGCCTGTGAGATGATTTGCTATCACAGCCAAACACAATGTAATAGTTTACCTCATTCACTCGGTGGTGCTCTGCAGAGTTTAGCAGATCAGAACGACTCGACCCACAGAGTACATTTCCCCCAAATCAGCAGCGTATATAATTAGCCCAATGCAATATCAAGCACTTTTGCATAGGCCTACTCTTGGCCTACCATTTAAGCATCTTCATTTATGTAGATATAAATAGAACAGCTCTGTCTACTGGACACATTTTTCGAGCAACTGCTTTGACCGCTTCGAACACAGTGTCTATTACATAGCCTATGCATCATATTTCGGGCTGGTGAAGGTATATAAGCTGGAGAGAGACGCAGAGGGATTCACTGCAGTGAACAGATTCATCTCGAGCGAATTTCACTCTAACCTTAGAGACAACCCCCTAAGGTGAGTTTCACTGAGGAGCTGCAGACCTTTAGCCAGGACTCACTGAGTGTTTCAGGGCTTTAACTTCATGCGACGGGATACAGACGAGGAAAGGGCCGCACAGGGCCAGATTCTGACCATCACAGGCTCAGGGTTTGGTTTTGGACTCACTGAGGAACAAAATGGAAAAAATATATATTTGCCAACCAACCACAGCAGCAAAGGATATTTGATCTTTTGCCTCGGAAGGCTTGGTTTTGGGAGAGAATGAAATTGGACTACTTTTTCTGATCATTTGTGCCTTGGAATACTCAAAAGGAGGAACTATGATATACTCTGCATGGCCTAATGATGATGTTATGTAACTTTACACTTTGTCTAATGTGCAGTGAGGAAAGATAATAAATATGCTAAGTAGAAATGTATCTTCCTGTGGGATTTGCTGCAGCTGAACTGATGACTTGTCCTCTTCTCTCTCCTCCCTCAGTTAAAAATGTCTTTAGCCTCAAAATTGTCTGAAGCTGACATCACTGCAGCCCTCGCTGAATGCCAAGGTAAATCCTATTAACTGCTCTTATTGGTAAGGAAATACTAGGCAATAGTACACATGCAAAAAAAACCTGGATTTACCAATTTGGGGTCCATAAAGACAATAGCAGAATGATTTGCTGCAGAATTGAAATGGTGATGCTGTATCACCAGAAAACATAATTGCAATCACAGCCAGTTTAAAAGAAGCCTCTTTTCTGCATTTAATCATGCAGGAGCTTGAACACTGGATCAGTGGTGTAGGCAGAATTTAATTTGATCAAATGTCTCAGCAGAAAGTGTTTATCATTGTAACCGCTGTAGGAAAAAGGACCTGGAATGCAGACTGCTGGTCAAAGATTGAAAGAAACCAACACAGTGGCAAATCTAGGATTTTTTAAAGTCAGTGGCAATAAAGGGCCCAAAATTTAGAAAGAGGTGACAATTATATGTCCCACATCCGTGCAAATTTCCTGATTTAGTAAGTCGTACATTTAAGTAATTCCTTATTTACTCTATAGCTTCGAGTGCAGTATTGTCAATGAGTGACTACTGACAAGACAGGGCCACTTCAGGGGCCAATCAGATTTCAGATGAGCCCTCCCCCAAACCAACAGCCAGGCCTTGTAGAAGGGAGGCAATGAAGCTGCAAAGCACATTTCTCTTTGCACGTGATTTATCAAAGATGTCTGATACTATCTTCTCTCTCTCTCTGTTCTCTCCTCTCAGCTGCCGGCTCTTTCAACCACAAGAAATTCTTCGCAAAGGTCGGCCTGTCTGCCAAGTCTCCTGCTGACATCAAGGCAGCCTTCGCAGTCATTGACCAGGACAAGAGCGACTTTATTGAGGAGGATGAGCTGAAGTAGGCAACTTCTCTTAGATTTCAAATCAAGCAAGTCAGGGAGCAAAGGGATCTCAGTGATAACTCTACGTCTGCTCCCTCCTTGTGTGTCTTGAGTAGAAGGCTGACACAAGGCAATCAGAAAAGGCAGAGCATTAATCTTGGAGCTAAATCAAGTGCATCATATATTTGAGAAGATTTAAAAACAATAAAGATCCTGTGGCTGATCATTTAAAAAAAAATGTAAAGATGATCTAAAAAAAAAAAAACTCTTTAGAACCAGTAGATTCCATGCAAAACAAATCCAACTTTTATCAGCTTACATCTGTTCAAACGTATTGATCACAAAGTATTTCTCTCCGATTATCCTCTCCAGGCTGTTCCTGCAGAACTTCTCCGCCAGTGCCAGAGCTCTGACCGACGCTGAGACAAAGGAATTTCTCAAGGCCGGTGACTCTGATGGTGATGGCAAGATTGGAGTTGATGGTAAGGTTTTTTTTTCTTATGAAGTGTTTGTTTGAATGAGCTTTATCTGGAAGTCCCTCAAAATCACAGCATCATGTCATAACACTGGAATAACGATCCCCTCTCTCTCTCTCTCTTTCTCTCTCTCTCCCCCTGCAGAGTTTGCTGCAATGGTCAAGCAGTGAATAAACTGACCAACATCTTACTTCGTTACTCCAAAGGAACAACTTGAGCCAAGACATGATCCTCCTCTATTCGACTCTTCCCTCTCACTCTCTCTCAACTCTCCACACCACTTTTATACACACGACCTTTCACCCCCGCCCTCCCCACCTCTCTCTCTCTCTCTCTCTGACTGTTGCTGTCCTGGATGAATGTACTGGACGAAGTGTATAGCGAGGTTCTCTCTCTTTCTCTCTCTCTCTTTTTTCTCTCTTTCTCTCACTTCTGTCGTCGTTTTATTATGTGAGTTTTGCTTACTGTGAGATCGGTGATGATGCACTTTTATGGGAAACGGACGGACGATGAGACAACAATAAAGGTTCTTTTTCAATAACACAAGTCTGACCGTGGTCTTTGACGCTCAAACAAAAGAAAGTGACAAACAGCAGCTTTTAACCAATGTCTCCTGAATAATGCAGCTCTTTACCTGTTGTATAGCACAGAAAATAAACATTCAAAACACATCAGGTAAAGCCAGCCTTCCTCTAATTGATGAGTCACTGGAACATGCAAGTAAACATCTGGATCTAGTGAATTGAAGTGTGGTTCCATGAGGGACTGTTTGGCCTTGGGGAGTTATGCGTATTACTGAGTGCCATTCTAGTGTTAATTATGAATTTGAAATTCAAATTATTCGAATTTCATTAAGTTACTCAATCAAATTTTTTTTAAATCGCCTTTCAAAATGTTCTCTTTGGTGTGAAGATGTGATACTAGTTGATATATGTTTTAAACAATTTCTTTAATACAGTGTGTTAATCCATTCATCCAGCCCCCCTGCCACACATTGAGGCATAAGAGCCACAAGGTGGCGCCGTCCACCTGTCAACAAGTTACAAGGATTCTACATACCTGAGAAGTTTACGGCCCAAATATGGAACATTAAATCTAGAACAGGTTTTATTTTCTCAACTTCAGATGAGTTGAAATGGTTCAAGTAGATGTGAGACGACTCAAAAACATTGTCAGTCACAAAGTGTTAAATCAGAGGTTCACCTGAAGAATAATCACATTTATTCCCCTGGTTCTCGTTACACATCTGTCTCTCAGCTTGTTCCATTAGTGCTGACTGGATTCACCAGAGACGCTGCTGTGTCAGGTGGTTGGTGAGGTTTCCCTCCACAACAAACCCATCAGGTCAGAGTGGACAGTTGCCATGGTGAACAAATGAACCATCCCCCCAGAAAACCTACACCCCTGCCTTTCCCTTCACTGTAGAGACCCACCATGACATCAAAAACTGCCCCAGGATTCACACATGACTGAACGGAGGTTATTGTTGTATACTGTTTTGATGAAGCTGTATACTTTGGACAGACAGTTCTGCTTTCTCTCTATTTTAATGACTGAATAATCCATCCATCCATCTATCCATCTATCCATCTATCCATCTATCCATCTATCCATCTATCTATCTATCTATCTATCTATCTATCTATCTATATTAAACTTAATTGAATCCCATTTCCTCTTCATAAAAAAGATAGGAAAGCATTTTTAACTCACTGTAGTTTACTTTTGCTCATGTTTTCCTTAGCTTAAGTAAATGTACACAAACGCTCTCTTTCGGTCTCTTCAGCAGCCTTATGTGTAAATAAAAAGCAGTTGGACAGTGTCTTTATTCTTGTTGCCAGTGCTTAAAATCAGTCTTTAACAATATCCCTGGTGAGTCGTGAGATGATTTATGACCTGCTGCTCGCTGTGATTGTCTGAATTTGGGAGATTACTCTCTAAAACCAAAGAGTTAGGGTGGAAGGGTTGATTAAATTTGAGATGTCTATAAGCTCTCACATGCACCTGCAAGGGGTGGAGGGAGTTAAGAAGGGGAAGGGAGGGATGAAAGAGGAGCGTAACACGAACAATTGGACGAAACGGTTATGACAGCAAGGAGAAGAGACGTGGGGGGGTGCATATACAGATAACAGATATAAACAGTCAAGGTGAACTGGGCAGGTGAGCTGGAGAGGAACCTGAGAAGGAGGGGGCAGGGTGCAAGGGAAAACTTGATCCTAGCTCAGGTTGGAAACTCAAGCATCTGTCCACCCATCCAGCTCAGTGTGCAGTATATAAGAACTGGGCAGCTGTCAGTGGCCACCACAAAGCCTTATCCTCCTCCTGCTGCTGCTTTGGACCTGGACGGACAGCACGTCAAGCCAACAGTGGTGAGTCCCACAGCTGCATGGGGGTCATGCAAGGGAGCCATATAGAACTTTATGAAGCCTGTACATTGCTTTTTAAAGTCAATTTCAATCAAGTTTTAGAAATGTTGACACTTCATCTGAAATCAAATTAAGAGATTTTTTGAGCAGATGGAAACTTCTCTCAAGCTGTTAGATCAATCATATGTTCATAATGTGTTTTTAGTTTCAAACAGTCACTAATATAAACTAGTCCTATATTTAAAAACAAAAAAAAGAAGTTAATATGTTGTAAAAATATTCAGTTGCCTTCAGCAAAAAATAACTAATCAGGCTTTAAAGGACTGTAGTTAAATTACCAGAAAGTTACATTTTATTTTATAGTTTGAGAGCATGTCTGATGAGGATGTCTTGTGTTTGTTGGTTTGTTGTTTTTTTCATTTATTTATTTGACCATGAAAATATTAAATTGCAATTTATGGCGGAAGCTGTATTTGCAGTAGTTTTGTGTATCGGAGTGTCCAAAATAATAATAACACAAATAATGCTCTTCATATCCCCCCTGGCAATAACTTCTCTCCATTCCCTGATTACCAATTACATCTTGCACAGCCCGACCAGGCCAATCAAGAGTTCAAGGGAGGCAAATAGTCTCAGTAATTAAGAGGCTGCCTGGGGAAATCGGATCAGGAGCATTATTAGTCAAGAGTGGATCATAAGATCATAACATGATTAATTAGATTTAAGATTTCCAAATTCAAGATGTGCATTGTCACACTGTTTATTCAGCACAAAGTGAAAAGCGTTTGCAGGGAAGCATTAACAAAAAACCAAAATCAACTTGGAAACTTTAAAGTTGTTGCTGATATTTTTTATTTTTTTATTAAATGTTAAGCCAGTGTGATATGTCAACTTGAGTGAGTTTGTGTGTGAAAGAGAGAGAGAGAGAGAGAGAGAGAGAGAGAGAGAGAGAGAGAAATACTAAGCTTTTCTTTTGCCCTGCAGGAACATGTCGTTCGCCTCCATCCTTTCAGCTGACGCCATTGAAAAAGCTGTCAAGGACTGCCAAGGTCACGATTTAACACACACACACACACACACACACACACACACACACACACACAAACACACACACACACAGACACACTTAAATCTTCTGAACACATTTGATTTGAACATGAGGATAATACTTTAAGGGGATCAAAGACTCTAACTTCATTCACTCAATTTTGTTAAAATGCACAATAATCCTGATCTGCAGAAACTGCTCTCTGTTACATTCACTGGCTCTGCTATTAAAGCAGGCATAATCACCTCCCATGCTTGAGCTGAACAGTGATAACATATAAATTCAAAAAGACATGTGTCTGCTGGCCTTCAGAGATAAGTAAAAAACAAAACAATAAAAATCAGCCTGCAGCCATGTGACACTTTAATCTCCACATCTCCCAAACCCTGATGAAGCTCCCGGGTTGATTTTAACCAAAGTGTTATGTGTTTCAAGCTCCGGACTCATTCTGCTACAAGAAGTTCTTCCAAATGTGTGGCCTGTCCTCAAAGACGCCCGAGGAGATCAACCAAGTCTTCAGGATCCTCGACGAGGACAACAGTGGCTACATTGAGGAGTCTGAGCTCAAGTGTGTGACACCACCCTGACAAGTTCACATTCCTCAGCTCCTCTGCATGCATACACAGTATCACGCTAAGTGATGCTGATAGCCTATTCTTGTCAAAAAACATCTTGAAATCCCAATTTTCATATGAGCTACAACATTAAGTCTAAAGTTTGTGTGCTTGTGTGTGTGTCTGGCCGAAGGAAAGAGAAATTTAATACATTAAACACACAGTCACATCCGCAGCAGCTGTCGCCTAATAATCCAGTCTGTGCAGTTTTTGTGTTATGTAATTCACCTTTGTGTAACAAGGGCTGAGGGATGAAATTGTTTGAATGCATCTCTGTGTGTGTGTGTTTCGATAGGTACTTCCTGCAGTGGTTCATCAAAGACGCTCGAACACTGACTGAGGCAGAAACCAAGACCTTCATCTCAGCTGCTGATGATGACAGTGATGGCAGAATTGGAGCAGAGGGTCAGTATCTGATTTCTCTTATTGTATTTTTAAAACTCTTGATGGAGGCAGAAATTATCTCAGTGGTTGGATTAAATCTCTTTGGCTCAGTGCGCAATTTGCTGAATTTTTAGCCCACTGGCTAAAAACGCTTTGTAGCCATTATTAAGTTTTAGTCAGACTTTGTCATCTAAATTATAAGAGAGCAAATAACCAGTGTTTCGCTAAATAAAATCTTATAGGAACGTGTATCATGCAGTTGAGACTTTTAAACCTGATTGCAAACAACAATGTCTCTCAGTAGAGCACATATGTCCCCCAATGTCCAACAGTCCCCTTATGAAACCACATTTAAATTCATTAGATCTTTCTCACAAAGTGGAATCAAATTCCTGGATCCAAACCTAAGTTAACAGGGTTCTCTTTGAGTCATGCACCACTCCTCCACAAAATGTCATGGAAATTGGTTTAGTCTTTTCTTATAAAACTACATTCAAATTCACTAAGTCTGAATTTCTATTTGGACCCACACCAAATTGCACACTCTTATAGATATCAGCCCATTTAACATATCTGATTCTTATTTGATCAAGATCAATGAATTGTTCCCTAAGAATTCTGTGAATATTAAAAAAACAAATACTCGAAATGTTAAAGAAAGTGAATAAAAAGTCTGGATTCAAAATGTGAAAGAGGTTATAATCAAGCCATTTTAATCTAGACACTTGGTTAAATGCACCTTTGAGCTCAGACTTAGAATCATAAAATCTTTCTTTTGTGTTATTCGCTGTGGAAAGTACTTGAAACTCAATGCTCTTTGTTTATCTCCGTTTCTTCAGTTTTATCAGTGTAGGAAACATATGTGGGAAGACATGACCTCCATGTTTGTCCCAGATTTGCCCATCATCCACTTACAAAGCAATATCTGGGCTCAGCTGCCTTACATAAAAGGATCATTGTTTCCAAAAAAAGATTATTTTGTCTGTGTCTCTTTATTTCCCACTCTCAGATCAGTTAAAGGTTAATCAAAGGTCCCAGTATCAACCACAAATGTATATATTTTGCATGAGGTTGTTGTTTTTATTTAGTGGATGATTTAAGGCATTTCTCAACATGGTTTGTTCTCTAGAATTCCAGGCAATGGTCCTGTCCTGAGTTTTGACAGAGGGAGCTCAAGTGTTCAGGTCTTCAGTCACCACCCCGCCCCTGCAGTTGTATGATCCAAGCTTCGATTCCCAAGGACTCCTTTTTTTTCTACTGAATTCTGTAAATGTTATAAAAATTACCATTTAAACACAAGAGGCTTTACACTAGTTTCTCCACCGTGTTGGTCCATGTTTTCTTGTCTGTGCACATCCCATCTTTGACAATGAATGAGATAAATAAACACATGGAAACATACATTCCCTCTTTATGCCTATCTCTTTTTATTTCTAAGTAAGTGATTGTGCATGTCTGTGTGTGGGGCCAGGCAGAGATTGAGACTACATAATATTGAATTTGAAGTGAATTTCAATAGAAGGGATTAAAGTGAGAGGATGGATAAGAAAGGTGAGACAAACAGCATATTTGGGAGTGAAATGGAGTGTGAAGGTGATGGACATTCTGGTGGAATTGATGATGTCGAAACCAACAGATAATCTGGGAAAGGCAAACTTAAATGCACCCCTGTTGTCATCAGAGGAACTCTCCTCTCCATGCACACGGAAGCCGTACAGGCATTTGTATTCAGGTTGGCCCCAGTTACTGAGGACATGCAGCGCCACAATATTGTAGAACTCGTCTGTGGGGGTCTGGAATAGAGCGAGACAAAGAATATTTGACCTCAGTTTCACCCATGGTAAAGCCATAGGGTCTGTCCTCTACTTGTTATATAGAACAGGAAGTATTTGAGTCATGTTCTGTCTTCCCGTAAATATCATAGCGTCTTTGTCTATTTGGATTTGATAGTTTGAACTTACAGGCAGCTTGAATGTCTGTGTGGACTCTCCATTCTCATCAAAGGTAAAAATCCCCAGCAGAGTTCCACTATCAGAGGCGTCTTTCATCGCCTGCAAGAGAAACATCACAGGGTCATCGTGGTGACGACTTAGAATAAAACATTTTCTTCCCCAAGGTTTAAATGTGATAGGACCTTTGCAGTGCCCTGTGTAATGATTCGACTAACATTATTGGGAGAACTCACATAGACCTCAAAGTCCTTGGGCGCAGTGTCCATGCAGCCTTTTGGGGAGTTGTTGCGTGGGAGTTGGTCCAGTGTCACATGGCTTATCTTTGTATGGTGAGAGAGAGCGATGGTCAGAGTTCCCTGGGTACCGGGAAACGCCCAACATTTCAAGAGAATACAGGTTTCAGGCATTTTCGGATTGGCTTCACTTTCTGGACACAGAGTCTCCATATCCATTTGTTTATACTGTCTATAGAGACAACACCATGAATCAGAGAAATGGTGAGCAAAAAGCAGGTACCACTGTGGTTATACACTCTACACAGACAACTATTGCTGCAATATTTTGATGCGTAAAGTATAGTTGGACACAGCAGGGAAACACGCCTTACCATCTGCATCCATAGTTCAAGAAGTTAAACCATCTTCAGGTAATATGTTAGCTAGTTGGACTTTTGTTGGAAATATTAAAATGGGTTTTTTTGGTTAAAGTTAGCTTTTACATGGCAACACTCAGCCATAGGCTACTTTCAAAATTCCTTCCCAAAGTACAATTTAATATGCTAAAACCATATGTGAACATTTTCTGTACATTTGTCAATTCACAAACTATTTGTTAGTATGAAGCCGATAGTGGACTGCAGGGAACAACACCCAACCCCACATAAGATACAAAGAAAACATTGACAGGGGCGTTCATTATACCTGAATATCAGTGCTTGGGTTATCAGATGAGCATAAAAGACAGAAACCAAACAGGGACGCACACGATTCAGGAGAACGATACGGCTCTGAACACCTGGCACTGATCACTTTGGCACCTACAAACAGAAACACAATGTAAAACAGGTAATTCGTATGAATGAGTCAGAATGCCAATGTATAAAAATGGTGATACTGAGCAGATAGAACTGAGAACTATAATGAATATGATGTGATGATTAAAGCCAAAGTATCAGTGACATGGAGATGTTTCGGACCTCGAGACTTTAGGGCAAAATCAGTCATTTTGTCAGGAATGGGATGTCCAGAGTCATTGGCTTTTCCTTCATCAGCAAGGCTTAGTGTATCATGCTCCTGGTGGATAAAACACAGTATATAATGTAAGTATTCATTTGTATTGACATATGCCAAAATACACACACATCTAGAGCTGATGAGTAGTCTTAGAGACTAGAGTATCTCTCCACCAACAGTACCTTGATTAAGTCAGTGAGGCACTTCTCCATTTCCTGTTGGAGCTTGGGGATTAGCATATGTAGCACATATTTCATATTGGCATCAGGCATGTTTTGGTTGGATGACAACTCCTGCATTTACAAGAAATAAGCAGTCACATTTTGGTTCACACAATCTCAAGGAAACAGAACAACAGGTTAGAAGTTAACAAGAACTAAAGAGAGGATTAAGGCATGTTTCTGGTATTCCTTTCAGAAACCTTAAGTCTGTCACTTGCTGACATCTCTGCCAGTACTGTTACCTAAGAACTCTCAACCTCCAAATATTGGATCCTGAGACTAAAGCAGTCAACAGATAAAAACCTCAGCATTTATCTCTTCACCTGAAGTACCTTGATGCGTTCCAGCAGCACCGCCTGTTCGAGCTCTGTGATCAAAATCTGGAGGACAGATTGGTTGGGATCAAGTGCCTCCAAACTTGATGAAAGCTTCTGCAGCTACAAGAAAGAAGCAGTGACATTTTGGTCACACAATCTCAAGGAAACAGAACAGCGGGTTAGAAGTTAACAAGAACTAAAGAGAGGATGAAGTGCACGGTGAGTGACATGCAGGTGATCTGAAGTTGAGGCCTACCTGCTCAGCTGCATCATGTATGATATCGGATTGATGAAGGAAGATGAAACCTGTCATCAATGGAGAAAACAGGAGGCAGAGGATGACATGTCTTCTAAATGTGAAAAATTACCAGATGTCATGCAAACTTGCCTCTTATAATATGTCACTTACATTGGAAAACAAGGAGGGAGAGGAAACACAGAACAAAAGCCTTCCTCTTGATGCTTTTCAATGAATACTTCGCTGCAAGGACAAGAGGAAAAAGTCAATTTGTATCAAGCTGTATGTGTGTGAACACGTAGCAATGTGAAGAAAGGCTGCATAAATCAACTCAATAATGCCAGTAAACTGAGCACAAGCATGAGCTTATCAGACAAACACGAAGACAAACTTAAACATATCCATCGACAACATACCTAAAGCTGACAGATGAATCACTTTTGACTTCATTGTGGCAGTGATCGTTGATAAGCCTGCAAAATATGCTGGATACATTAAAACACACTCACGGTGGACATTTTTATTGTTTAGATCTATGTGGTTCATTTAGATTTTTTTACTTAGTATGCATTGTTTTATCTGTTGGGATTCTCCAAACCAGGATGAAAGTACATTGACTAAAGGGAGAGGAAAATTATCCAAATTTAACAAATATTTGCGTTATAATACTAAATCCTGTTTTTTTTGTATTGCAGTATGTGAAGGATCCAAGACGGATTTTGGAAGCTCGATAGATAGCAACTGGAGGAAGGTACATAAAATCTCTGCATCAAGTATGAAGACATCATCCATCCAGCCAGATTTCCCTTACACTCACACATCGATGCACTTTAGTACTCACCAATCAGACCAAAGAAGGCACTGCTGATTCTGCTTCTGTACTCAGAACGGGGATCAAAGTTGGGGGCAGCCATGGGCTTCCTGTAAAATTCCTCAGACAAGTTTCCTGATTTTGATTAAAGATGAAAAGTTTTAATGACAAAGAAAAATTAACAAGCATGTTACATCAAATTGTGTTAATTATTTTATGCAATTATTATTGCTTTCGTTTTAACTGGAATTCTTCTTAATATAGCTCTGAAAGCAAGGGAAGTTCAATTTATTTTTAACCATTAAACTGACCTGCGGTGAGAGGTGGCTCATGGTTGGGTGAACTTGCATTACCAGTGGTTCTGCCAGAGGTACATGAGCAGGTCTCTGTTCTCCTCTTGATAACCCTTTACACAAAAACACACACAGGGGCATTAAAGAAAAGACCGATGATTGTTTATTGTTACAGTTTGCAAATCAGACTTGCTTGAGTAACGTACTTGACGGGGTTTGCGCCATAGAATATGGTTCTCACGCTACTTGAGTCGGATTCTGTGTTGTAGTAGCCGCTGGACAAAAGACGAGAACTCCTACGAGACATGACTGGATGACACTGAGATAAACACAGTAAAATATGACTCATCACAGAACTTCACGCAGATCCTCACATTGCATCTGATCAGTACATGATGGCAGGAGATGGTCAGCACAATGTCATAAGGTATACATCATGATTTGAGTTTTAGGGAGTGAAGCTTACATGAGGGCAATTTGTGCTTTTAATTGTGTAGTTGTTTGTTTATGACATTTAAGACAATGAGAAAATGTGATAATTTCTCAATGACTGACAAAATGTTTCAACCATAGTCAACCCGTCCTTCAAAATACACACACTAGCAAACTATTAGTCTATTTATAAAGATAGACGACATGACTTCTCACCAAAAGCAAAGCCTAAGTGGATAGCTGCAGTTTTGGTCATAAACCCTACTTCCTCCATGATAGTAGATGGGACATAGACCAAATTAAATAGTCAAATTACTGTCAGAGTAGAAAATGCATTTCCTAATGAAAATGTAGTTTGAATGCAGACCTCCTGTATGTTGATGTTTGCTGGTGAAAAACTTTTCTGGATCAAGGGATTGTACTGTGTATTGGTTTATTGGTGGGGTGGAAACCGACATCAAAGGACATTACTGCTTCTAAATATCACAGGAATGTTGTCACTGCAACTTAAAAGGATATATGATATGTAAAATAATATAAGTGCCAAAGCAATGCATGGGGCGGAGATTGACCATCTGGGGGCGGAGTTGACCATCTTGTTGAAAGCACTGCAAACTCAATACAATTAACATTAGAATCCATAGTGCCTATTAAAAAAAAGCATGTGAATTAGTTTCAAGAAAACTAGCTTGCCTAAAGAAATTCAAATTCAAAACATTATCAGGACACTCTGTAAATTTCCATCGCTATGCAGATGACATCCAGTTATACCTATTAATAAATCCAGAACAATGTAATCAATAAACTAAACTTCAAGCATGTTTTAAGAACATAAAGAATATAGAATTTTGTGATATCTAGTGTTGAAATGACATGTTGCAGCTGAACATCCCTCACCTCACCCTCTCCTTCCAAACATGAAAAAGAACCTGTGGTAGCCTTTAATCGTCATAAAAACTCAAAAGGTGTTTAGTTTGTTCTGGACTAAAGTAAAAAACATGGCGGCCTCCGTAGAGAGGGTCCCCTCGATGTAAATATAAAGTATTTGAATTTAAAGGGCCTTTTCAGGGGTAAAGAAAACTAAAATTCATACAATTTTAGATGAGACGAATTAGTGAAAACATCATGAGAATTATTCTACATTAAATTTCTGCCAATAGTTCCCTTTAACCTAAATCTTACACACTGAACCTTTAAAATACAGCACACATAACGTGCCGTGCTCCCCGTGGAGAGCCGGAACCTTTTATTTGACTTGGTATCACTGCCGCACGAACACTTGCGCGTGTGGCACCGCGCTGTCTGAATCAGGAAGTTGAAAATGTGCAGAATGCTGCGTCTCCTCTCATTGAGCTCTTTTTATTTATTTACGCTGTCTCCGGCCGCGAGCACCTGAACGTGTGGCCCGTGTTCTCTGTGCGGAGGCTGTCACCGTCGTGTTGTTCTGTCACCGTCACGGTTCTCGGCTTTTTTTTTTCTCCGCCTGGACCTTTGCTGACACAACCCCGCTGCTAGCATAGACAGCTAGCCCGCTAGCTGCCCTGACTCACCTCACACCGGCCGCTTGTTGACTTGGTAATAACAGTGAATGTCAAGTATTTGTACTCGTTAACTTCAACACGCACGTTACCCTGAATTCACAGTTAAAATCTATTAAACACAGCTGCATTACTTTATCTGATCTAACTCTACGAGTTTGAAATGTCATTACTGATATCTATAAAATGACCATCACAATTCATGTCTTGTGTTTTTACCTTAATCGACACACTTACATTAGTATCCAAACGTTTTATGTTGGTTGTTCTTTATTGGAAACATTCACCTGTTTACATCTGTACATATTTTGATCTTTATGGACACAAGTGGAAGTCGAGATTTGTTTTTAATATCTAAATCTAAATACTTTCTCTGCTGATTCTGATATCCTGACTCAGGGGTATCTGTGTGTAACAGCTGCCAGACAATAACAATGTTCTTATTTTTTCAAAATTAAAATCCCAATACCTTGTCGTGGTATGCTCACAGGGATGTATTTTACTTCATGTAATTTGGGGCTAGGGATCACTGTGGAATTAGAAATTAGGTCAGTGGCTGAACGAATGCAACTGTGACTGGAAATGCTTGATGCCAGACTCTGGACAGACACTCTTCCAGTGTATCAGAACTGTGCATCCCGGGGAATAGATGCCCTCTGTGCTCCCAGCTTTGGATGCAGATCCACTGTACTCAGTGTGACCCATCAGTTAGTGGCTCCAGATTTGTCTTGCCTCAGTATGTGATGTACTTGTCTTCACTCTGCAGGCGCACGGCATGCGAACCACACTGTCTTTGGAGCAAAGGAAATCCAGACACAAGTTACACTAATGCTGATGATTAGGTAAAGATGGTGATGAGGCTGACGTTGATGTTACCTGGAAGAAATCTGGAGATGTTTCAGCTTTTATGTCTTCATCAGCTGTTCTCTTTTGTGTCTGATACAGCCCCAGAATGGCTTCAGGAATGCAAGAGAAACAGTACACACCCAGTCTGCTTAGTTTTTTCATTTATAACCCAACATTTGGACCACGAGAAGGAGAGGTGAGCTTGACTCCGAGAGGAAGAGTTGTTGTGCACATGTTTTACACCTGAATCATTTTACTTTTTTAACTCTAGTTGTTTGAAAATATTTTATAGAATCACTAAATTCCTAATCCAAATATTTTATATTTAGGAGGAGAAGAAGATTTTGTTTTACCACCCCAGTGATGTTGAAAAGAATGAGAAGATCCGAAATGTGGGTCTTTGTGAAGCCATTGTACAGTTCACCAGGTACAGATCTCAGTACTGTGCTTATAAGAGTCTACCTGTAGTCGTTGATTAGGGTGGATTTCGTTGTGTTTATTTAGCCTTTTCACGTCTTTGTAACATTTGCTTTGAGCTTAGTAATGAGTTTATGTCTAAGTTTGTACTGTAAACATGTAACTGTATGAAAGGAGTGTCACACCTTGTGTTTGCATGTGTCTCCTTGCTTCTCACAGTCACATGTTTTTGTCCTCCAGAACCTTTTGTCCGACAAAACCGGCTAAATCCCTGCACACACAGAAGAACCGGCAGTTTTTCTTCGAGCCAGAGGACAATTTCTGGATAGTCATGGTATATTGAAGGCCCATATGTACAGTTATTCAGCATATATGGATTATTTTGTTATTTTCCATTGGAATGTAATTTAGCTTTTACGTTTCAAATCTCTTTTGTAATCTGCAAATTTTGCATGTTTATATCTCAACAGCGTGATTCCTGAAGTAAAAATCCCATTCACTCTCTGAATAGAGATTTTTGATCATCAGCCATAATATTGTATCCATCCAATGTAGACTGACCTCAAGCTGCAAGACTGATGTTATATGCTCCTGTCAAAGCCACTTGTCTGTATGATTTCAACAGTATTTTAAGAAACAGTTGGAAAGGGATGATTCGCAATGGTTCATGGAATGCGTAGTTCTTTTAATCTTAAAAGAATTGTGTACACATTCTTGTACCTTATACTTTTTCCAATTCTTCTTTTTTTTTGCTCTGAATCAAATTATTATGTTCATGATTTATCTCGAAGCTGGTTCGACCTGTTTCCAGACTTTAAACTGAAATTATAATGAAAAATTTAAACAAATGGGAAATTTACTTCCGGAACCACAGACATTTTACAAGTAGGCCCTGACTGATATGTCTATTCCTCAGGTGGTTCGAAACCCCATGATTGAGAAACCAAACAAAGATGGTAAACCTCCCACGGTAGAATATCAGGAAGAGGAAATACTTGTGAGTACTGAGAGAGAATGTCTTCAGTTGTTTCCTTTAAAGCATTTTACTAACCATTGCCTCTTGTCTTTGTAGGATACTGTTTATGGTGCAGTTGTAAGACAATGCTACAGTATGTACAAGGTAGGTTCCAGTATGTTTTAAATGATGTCATTATATAATGCTTAAATATTTTACGTATATAAAGTGTATAATGTTATCATCTAAAAACCATATGGTGACATGCCTACCTCATACTACATATTTAAGGCCTCGATAATGCACAAAGAATCCATCTTGTAATAGTGATTACTCTCCTCATGCTGTAGCTCTTCAATGGTACGTTTGTCAGAGCAATGGAAGCCGGAGGAGTGGAGCTGCTCATACAGAAGCTGGAAAAGTTCTTCTACAGGGTAAAAATCCATCCACGTCTTACTCACTGATTTGATATTGCACACAGTTATTTATAAAAAGTCAGTCTAACCACCAGTAAACCTTTTGTGGACCGTTTTGAGCTGCTCTCAGACATGCACTTAACTCCAGATATTCTCCTGACATTTATGTGTTGTTGTAAAATGGTCTGACCAGAGAATCTCCTGCTGAGTTGTCCAGAGAACATCCCAACCCTATTTTCCCGACATTCTCAGAGTTCTTATCTGAAATGAGCTTTTTGTTTCTTTGTAAATATTCAAGTCGCTCTTGGGAAACTTGCTGGAGTCACGCTTGATTTCCTTGTAATTATCCGCCTGCATTAGCTGCCTTCGCCTCAAGCTACTGTCACCTCGATGGAACGCTGCAGCTCTAGGCGAAACAACAAGTATAAATAATTCATTTGTGATTAGGGAATACCCTTCTTAAGTTCACACAGGATTCCCTCGCCTCCGTGTAACTCAATGACAGTGAGAAAGAGAGAGGCTGTGGGGTGTGTATCAGAGGTTGAATGTCAGTGCGGGGGCGTCAATCATTTTGAGTTTCCTGTGCCGTTTTCTTTATTGCTCTGTAAGGAGGCACTTGTAGACAGGTAAACTAACCCCTTGCTCCTTCCCTTCTCCTGTGTCTTGTCATTTTTGTTGTGTGCGGTCACTGTGGGGTTTCCAGTATCTGCAGACTCTCCACTTGCAGTCCTGCGACCTCCTAGATGTATTCGGAGGCATCAGCTTCTTCCCACTGGATAAGATGACCTACCTGAAGATCCAGTCCTTTGTCAACAGAGTGGAGGAGAGCCTCAGCCTGATCAAATACACAGCCTTCCTGTATAATGACCAGCTTATCTGGTACAGAGTGCTTGTTGGAAATGTGTTCTCAACTTTGTGTGCCTTTTCCCTGACATCCACTATCTCTATGAATTAATGGATTCTACAATCTGGTATAAAAATCAAACCTCTGTTTACACATCATGACATGCCGTGTAAACAGAGGTGGATTTAAACATAACCTCTAATCCTCTTTGTGGTTCCCTGGCATGTCACTTGCATTTAATTTCACTATCAGCCTCCACTGTTGGCACGGGGGGGGATTACGTGATTGCTAATGAATTGACTTGAGAGCAGTGTGAGCATTTAATGCAAACTGTCAATAGACAAACAAAGATGAGCTGTTTAATTATTGTCCAAATTAAGTAGCTGCGTTGTGTGCTTTCATTCTGGTTCTGGAGTATTTGATGTAGCACGTTTTACAACCACTGCTGAACTATAATTACCCCCAGGAGACACACAATTATGGTTTTGCATTTTGCACAGTGTGTTGTGAAGGTTATAAGGTGTAAAGCTTGAGCTTCTTTGTTTTCTCTGCAGGAGCGGATTGGAACAAGACGATATGCGGATCCTGTACAAGTACCTGACCACCTCGCTGTTCCCCAGACACTCTGAACCAGAGGTGAGGAGATGGGGGAGCCAAATGAACAGATTGAAAAATAACAGTTTCAGAAAGACATCTGTTTGGAACACACTGCACATGTTATGAAAAACCAGGTAGTGAGGAGAGTTTGTGCAGGAAGGAGGAACAACTCTTGCTGCGGTCAAACTTTGCTTAAGTGCGTGTCCCCCTCCACTCCTCCACAGTTTCATGTTTGGTGTGTTTTTTGTAGTCTTGCAGATAATTGGCCAAACATAGATGAACATATTTGGAGTTGGTGGTCGTAAACTCAAACTTTAACAACACATTAATGATGAACTGTCAAGGAGTTGTAAGATTTATGATCCAGACAGATCGTACAGGATCTGAATTTGAGACATCATTGCTTCCACAGCAAAGCCACACATTCTCACTTCTTCATTTTGTCTTTTCTCTTGTTAGTTGGCTGGCAGGGACTCTCCTCTGAGGCCAGAGGTTGCAGGGAATTTATTGCACTACGGAAGGTAAGTGTCATCATTGGTGTACCTGCGTCTTTTGGTGCCCTCATGGAGAAATATCAAGTAAAGACAAAGCATTACACATCGAACAAAGAGCATAATGATACTTGATGTACAGGTTTGCATAATAATCTGTGTCTGTTCCCAGCTGTATGTTGTTTAAACCAGCTGTGAGTTTGTCTTGGAATTAGATAAGGAGGAAACTCCCTTTGCTAACACTGCAGCTTCCAGATAATTCTGTGTATTTGTGCAACCAGACAAAGTCACATATTTACTTTCTTATAAAAGTTGTTTCTGCTTGAGGTGTAAAGGTGAAGTTTGGCAGCTGCAGTCCAAGTCTGACTCCTGTTGAGCTGTCACGGGACAGAATTTTTTTTATTTTCCAGCTCTAACTTAATGGTATATCCAATGATGGTACGTTGAGAGATGGAGACACAGTATTGAGGCCTGACTGGATATTTGAAGACTTGAACAAACCTCAGCGTGATAAGAACTACCTAAAATTACATCTTTGAGACTTTGACTTTTTAATTTGGTCCAAGTCTCATCCAGTAAAAAGGAGGAGGCTCGGTCCTACAGGTGGCGATCGAGAAGCTTTGGCTTCACTTTTGGGAAGCTGTCATGTCGTCCATCTTTATAGAGGGTCTATGATTTTGACTTTCACAACTTGTCTGAATATTCTCTCTGTTGAACACGAATCTCTTCTCTCCAGGTTTTTGACAGGACCCACCAACCTTAAAGATCCAGAGGCCAAATTCAGATTCCCCAAAATCTTTGTCAGCACACAGGACGGCTATGAAGAGCTGCATCTTATTGTTTATAAGGTACACTAGAGTAAATGCAATTGTTTCGTCACAGTCTACATGAGTTAATATATTAAAATGGTGGTAAAGTTGTTATTAATTTTTTCAGGTGAGACTCATAATCTGTAACGGACAGGATTCGTTTATGAACAGTAGATTTAGGAGGATCTATTCCATTGCTCTATTAAACGATATGGATTTTTTGGGATTAGACTGCTGAGTTTTAAAATGATGAAGTACGGCCCATGATGCTTGTCATCACGTTTATGTAATTTCTAACCTGAGTGACCTTGACTGCATTTAAAACCTGCACTGATCTGCACTTTTCCAGGCGATGAGCGCTGCAGCTTGTTTTATGATCAGTGGTAAGTGTGCACCTACTTCTATGATGAATATTCCCTTTCCTAGTTTACTTTTTATGATTTGATTCTATAATGTTGTGCTTTTATAAAATTTGGCCATTTTGCAGCTCATATAGAGCTAAAATATCAACTTGCATCCTCTGTCTCTTCCCAGCTTCAGTGGAGCTGACGAGGGACTTCTGTGAACAGTTGGACGGCTTGGTGGGACCTCAGCTCACCTTGCTGGCATCTGATATATGTGAACAGTTCACCGTTAACCGCAGGATATCAGGGTCAGTTGAGAATCCACCGCTAACTGAACTTCAAACACGCCCCATGTTTTCCCTGTAATTAGACCAGAGATTTTCTACATTTGAAGAGCTAGAATAAGACATTGTTTATATTGTTATAACTTATATAATATAACATAATCAATAAAATCTTAAAATCCAAAGTCAGTTACTTGTTGCTTAACAGTATAATTTATATATGTCAGATAAAAATAGTTTTGCCCAAAAAGTTAAGTGCTGTTATGTCAACGGTGAATGTTGGTGTCGTTGGTCATCAGTTTGCAGTTGTTTCCTTGTATTAACTCTGTCTGGTTGCTAGTGATGGATGAAAATATAATATTGAATATTGTCTTGGCACATCGTGTGGGTAACTGAAGCAGTGTAGCTTTAAAAACTGGCACCCTGGCCTGCTCTCCTTTAACCCCGGCTCCAGATACGCCCTGGCCTGTAATCTAAGACTGGACTCTCTGGCCCAGACGACTTGATGGGCTCCTTTTTAATCACTGTAGTGCAAAATCCACTGAATAAATAATGCTGTCCCTAATTTCTCCGCTTGCACTCAGGTTCGTGTCCTGATTTGGCCTGGTGACACTGCTAATGAGATGCAGCAGAGATATGAATCAGTTATATGGCCTGTGTTAATACATGTCGGGTAACTGTGCCCTCAGCAACCAGAGTGTTATATTCTCCGCCCCAGAGAGAGCTGCACTCTTAAACCTGACAATAACAGGATCTCACTGTCATATACATCACCTCCTTGGCAGATCCTTTAAAAAGATGAATCATCTTAATTCCCTAAAGACTGCTCCTTGTTTTGCGTCCTGTTTATTTAGTTAAATGTATCTGTTTTATTTATTGTGTCCATACAGGCCAGAGAAGGAGCCTCAGTTTAAGTTCATCTATTTCAACCACATGAACCTGGCGGAGAAAAGCACCATCCACATGAGGAAGACAGCCAGTGTTTGCCTTACCTCTGTCCACCCCGACCTCATGAAGATCCTGGGAGACATCAACTGTGACTTTGCCAGGTACAGCAGAGAACATACACTTTGTAAAAGTACAGTGGTACTTATCTTGACCAAATGCCTTCCGGATATTTGTTTTAAGAATTTTTCATGGGACTGACCACACATCATCTTTGTGGTACTCTTGGTTTTCCCAGTAAAAACCAAAGAGTAGCTTGAATTGATTTGTTTTAGTTATGGTAACTTTAAGTGTCAGTGGATGATACGGTAGCATGAGGACATCTTAAGCTCTGTCGTTTGACGTGGTCATGAGACTGTCGTCATGTGAACGTCTGTGGGATGAAACTGGCATCGACATTTATCTCAATATAATGTTGTTTTGTGTTTATGTAGTTTTTGTGTAGATGCTGCATCTTATCTTGTCAGCAAGGTCAAACTTGCTCTCTGTGCTATTATCTGAATTAAATACAGAATTGTAGGTAATAACATCTCTCTTGTTTGTTTGTTATATAAAATGTTTTAGTAGACAAAACTTCAAAGAATATGAAATTATATTACTTTTTTAAATCACATTATAGCTGCTTTCAAACATGCACTGGACTCAGCAGATATTGCGTATTTTCCCCTGGAGGAGGTTCATGCGTAAATGCAAATGTTTTTTTTTTTTACTTTGTGTTCTAAGTTTTGTCTGTCTTTCTCCCAGGGTTGATGAAGATGAAGAAATCATCGTAAAAGCAATGACGGACTACTGGGTTGTTGGTAAGAAGTCAGACCAGAGAGAACTGTACGTGATCCTGAACCAGAAGAACGCCAACCTGATCGAAGTAAACGGTATGTCTCCTCCAGCCGGTGAAGAGTAAATCTGTGTCATTACCGCCACAATAGACAATCCACCCTGCTACTTAATCTCCACTTCACCCTTAAAGCCTTTCTATCTTTTCTCTTCCACAGAGGAGGTTAAGAGGCTTTGTGCAACACAGTTCAACAACATATTCTTCTTGGACTGATGAGGCGGAGCGACTGTTCCACCACACTAAAAACTGTC